TCAAAATGTATGACATGTAATGGACCTTTAGAAACATAATGCACAAGTTGCATCAATGGTAAAATTACTTTTCATAGAAAATAATTTATTAAAATTTATTTTTGAAAAGGTCTTTACTTAGAGAATAACTAATGTGTTTAACAATGTAGTTAATCTTATTTTGTCAAACCAAATACTAGTATTTGTTAGTATTGTGATTCCTCATGCTTGAAGTGTAGAGGCCCTTCTTCTTAAGAAGTAATTAAATTCATATAAATGTTTAAAAATAATAATTAAATTTATGAAATGTAAAGTGTACTTCATGCGCACCAAATTTAGTATTCTTGAATTCTTAATGCTCTTCCGAATGTCCACCTAGGTATTACACTTCACAAGAATCGCAAACTAATGAATGCAAACTCTGTAATTACAAGTGTAAATTAGGATGTAGTGGCCCACTTGTTGAGGACTGTGACTCTATTAAATATTAATATTAAATTATATTTTGCATCTTGGCAGGAAAATTTTTCCTTTGGTGTACTTCTTCTATTTTAGGAAGTATAATGGATAAAAAGTAGTCTAGAGTGTAAGTAAAAACAGTTGCCAGTATAGTCTCAGTAGAAAGTGATAAATAAAACAATTTGTAAGATTTACCAATAATATAATAGGAAAATGATGACAGATAATAAAACAACGAAGAAAAATCTCCTACTAAATTTAAGCAAGAATTTACTTCCTCATAAAATTTACAGGATTTATCTAATTTAAAATAACAAGCTCTTTAATCTTAAATTAAACTTGATTTAGATAAAATGAAAAGAGTAGACAAAAGGAGGCCAAGAAAATAACTTCACAAAAATGCTTTTTATGATAGATCTGAGAAGAATTTTGTATTCAAATAACCTTCGATTGCTTTTAACAATAATACTAGCAACACAAGGAATCCTAATGAATTAGGAGTAACTCTAAATACTATCCCTAATTTGTCATAATTAAAAACTACCTCTAATTTTTCATAAGTAAAAACTTAAATGTCAGGACGTTAAGAAGTAAATATAATGAGACCATATATTTATAAATATAAAAGGAATGAAATATTTAAGTTCATAATAGTAAAAATTTAAATTTATTTTTATAAATTGTGATTAACTAATTAGTTATTAAAAATTAATAGTTAGGAAATGAGTGGGTTTCACTATTTTACTTTTATGATCACAATTTAAATAGATTAATTAGGGCTACTTTAATCTTTTTGAAGTATCTGGCTTTCTTTTTCTCAACTGAACTGATTTATAATGTAAAATTTTATTACTTTTAGTTATTAAGTTAAATAAATTTTCTTAAATTAGTAATCATACTTCTTATTGATACCATGTCTGTTATTTGGATGGACTTCAAAACAGTGGCTTAAATATGTTCACTATTTGCTTACAAAAATATCTTCAAAATTTATTCAATTAATTTTATTGACTTTTTTAGCTTTGATTGCTATTTATATGTATTTTTGGTTTGTTCCATAGCAAATGAGTCTTAAATTCCTTAAGGATGAAACATGGAGCCTGTATTATGGAATAGTATCTGCTGCTGACTTTGTTGTATTTTAACAATTATTTAGCTTTTTTGAATATTTTTACTCCATACAATACTTAAATAAATAATTTAACAGACTAGAACTTTCTAAAATTTACTAATTAGTAATAAATTAATAATTTATATAAAAAATAAAATAAAATTAAATATGATATTATTTATTACTTGTTTATTTAAATTTCCTACTAAACGTTTATAGTTAGTTAAATAGCAAATTTTTTACTTAAATTGAAACAAATTACTCTTATAAATATAAAAAATTTGAATGAAAATATTAAAGTGTATTTAGTTTATATTAAAAAATTTTTATTAATATCTATTTTTAATTTTTTATAAACTAATTTACAAATCAAATGTAAAAATATATTGATAAACTTCAAGAATTAAAGAATCAAAAATGATAACTTTTATTTTTATAAAAAATACTTGTAACTTTGTACACTTAAAAAATAAAAAGTAATTTTATTCTAAGTAATAAATTACATGATGATTTTTTATTTAAATATAATAACATAAAATAAAGCGGCTTATAATTACAAAAAATTTTTGATAAGGATTTAAAAATAAATATGCGAATACATAAAATTGAATGATGAATAAATTATAGTGCTTCCATGAATAAGCTATAAATTAGATTAATATAATAAATAAAAATTTATTAAGTTTAGGTATTCAAACCTTTTTTATTATTTTTAAAATAAAATTTATAATATTAAATTAAATTATTTTTATTTTAAAATAGTTGAATTAATTTAAATATTATATTTTTAATTTATTTTTATTGAAGTATCCGTTCGGTGAATTTTTTGAAATTGTTAATATACTTTTCGAATTAAGAGGTAAAAAATTAATTAAAGTTTGCAATAGTTTTTAAAAAGAATTTGGAAATTATTTTATTATTCGTAATAAATATTTAATTTTAAAATAATTAAGTGTATTATACTATAAATAAAAATATTTTATAAATTGAAAATTTAATATCTTAAATTATATACTTAAATTAAAAAATGATAAAACAAATAAAAAAACACAAATAGAATTATTTTACTTAATTTTAATGTTGATTATATATTGAAAACTATACAGATATTACACTATGAAGAATTTGATGAATAATCTATTTTTAATTTATATACAACTAAAATTAATAATACTATATAAATTTTCAAATATAATATCTTTAAAATCAGATCTTATAGAATTTAGCTTTTGGAATTGGATTTTCTATTTCGATTATGAAAAAAATGTGCCTAAACTCTCACAATAATTGACCAGTTTAAGGGAAGAGTAAAGATCGCATTTCATGTTGCTACAGGATTTGCTTTTTTTACTCGTTAGAATGATAACTAAAGTGAATCAGTTCTTAAATTTACTTATCTATTTTAGTGTTATTTGGAAGAGGAGAAAAATCATGGTTATAAGGTATTAATGAATTTATATTCAGAATATCTTTTAATATTTACTGATTATAATAAAATGTTAATTTCCTAATCCAACATCTATTTAGTGTAAATCTTATGATTCAAAATGTTTGACATGTAATGGACCTTCAGCAAGGTAATATAAAAATTGTGTGAATGGTAAAATTATCATTCATAGAAATATTTATTTAATCATTTAGGAGTATCTGTTCTTCTTTTTCTCAACTGAACTGATTAATAAGGTAAACATTTTTTACTTTTAGTTACTAAATTAACTAAATTTTTTAAAATTAGAAATTCTACTACTTATTGATAACATGCCTGCTATTTGGATGGACTTCAAAATAATTTGTTAAATATCTTCTTCACTGTTTACTGGTAAAATTATTTTGAAAATTTATTCAATTAATTTTATTGAGTTTCTTAGCTTTGATTGCTGTTCATATGTATCTCCATAGCTTATGAGCCTTAAAATGATTAAGAATGAAATTTGGAGCTTGTATTATGGAATATTATTTGCTGCTGATTTTATTTTATTTTAACAATAGTTTAGCTTTTTTGAATATATATATTCCATATAGTATCTAAATAACTATTTTAACAAACTAATACTTTCTAAAATTGGCTAATTAGTAATACATTAATAATTTATAAAAAAAATTAAATAATATAAAATGTTAAAGAAACTACTTATTAGTTGTTGTTTAAATTACCTACTAAAACTTAATAGTTAGTTAACTAGCCTACTTTTTGCTTAAAATAAACAAATTAATTTATAATCAGATTAAAATTTGTAAGAATATATTAAAACATATTTAGGACATCTTAAAAAATTTTTATTTATATTTATTTTCAAATTTTTAATAAAATAATCCAAAGAACGCAAGGTAAAATATATTGATATGCCTCAATTACTAAATATTCAAAATGGTAGCTTTAATTTTAATAAAAATTACTTACTATTATGTAAAGTTAAAAAATAAAAAGAAATTTTATTCTAAGAAATAAATTGAGAATACATTTTATGAGTATGAATGTTTAAGTGTGTCTAATTAGAAAATATAAATAATTAGACTTTGATTTTTTCTAGATTTTACACTTGCATGAAAATATTTGATTAACTATTACTAACTAATTTATTCTTGTCAGTAGCTCCTATTACATATTTTGAAAATTTAAAATATAATACAAAAAAAACTACAAAATTTTAAGATTTTTTATAAAAGGATACGCCTTCGCTACATTTACAGACAGGTATAGAAAACGAAAATGTTTTAAATATCCTTTTATTTACGCTTTAAAATTTGAAGATTATAATATCAATAATAATTTCTTACTGTGCTTATAAATTTGTAAAAAGTCTAATTTATTTTAAGGTAAATTTTTTTAAAATTCAATTCAAGTTATGTGTAATTTTTTTAGATATAAAATATTAATTGATTGATTTATTTTTAACATTTTGATATCCTTTAAATTTTTAGCCAAACTATTCAATTCTTTTACTCTTTACAGCCTATATTCCTTATGATTTAACACTTCTATACTTGAAGAATGAATACTTATATTTCTTTAAAAGGTAAATAAAAAAACTCAATCTACAAAATTTTATTTATAATTTTATATTATTTCTTTATTATTAATACAATATTAGTATGTATTTGTAAATAATTGGCAAGTGATCAATTTTCATCTTAAATATTTAGAAATTTAAGGCTTTTTTCTTTATTAAATGAAATTTCTATAAATAAAAATAATTTTATTGTGTGAATTTAAACCCTTAAAGCTTACTTTTTTAGTAAGAAAGAATCTTCAAATTTATTAAATTCACCAATTAATATAAAAATAAAATGCTTGAATTGTTTTTTTGTATAATTTTTATAAAAAAAATAATTCAATAATTTTTTGATAGCCTACTAATAAAAAAAAATCTAATTTATTCATAAATGAAAAATAAATTTCTAAATCCATCAAACTTAATTATCATATTTTTAGGACTAGTTTAAGCAGGTAATGTATTTATTTCCTAGTAATAATCCTTTTAAATAAAATATTATTTTATTTTATGTAGCTGAAAAACTTGTATTAACAGAGTTAACTGGTGTGTATACAAGCTAATAAATTTAATGGAATGCAAATACTGTTTTTTTATGTGGTGCAACAGATTTTACTGAATTTGCTAATAGCACTGCATTAGGATGGCTAGGAACAGCAAGTAATAGTACCTAAAGAACTTTTACTAATTTACCTCCCCATTGGAGTATATCAATAAGATTCGAACTCATTCTTTATCAATCTTTAGATCCCGACGATTCTATTTAAGTTACTTTAAATGGGTAAACTGATTCATATAGAAAAGATAAGTATTGGCTTGGATATTATTTTTGCTATCCAAATAATTATTATTATGATGAAATTGTTCTTTACTATAAAAATATAACAACTCACACTAGTTCTTCTCTAACTGTTCTCGTTTGGGGAATTACAAATGAGTCAATATACAATGAAGGTTTTGGACTCAAGAATTTTTACTTATCAGTAGATACTTGTCATGATTCTTGTCTAAGTTGTAAAGGACCAGGAGCAGATCAATGTCTAACATGTCCACCTAATTCTACTTAAGATGGAAATACGTGTACATGTAAAAGCGGCACTTATTCTTAAAATAACTAATGTGTAAGCATTTGCCCTGACGGATATATTTAAGACTCAACTGGAACTCTTTGCATTCAGAGTCTTTGTTACAGTCTTGTATGCTAAACTTGCTAAAAAGGCATGTGTATTCTTTGCCAATCTGGTTATTATTAATTGAATGGATAATGTGTCTAAAGTTGTCCATCATATACTACTGTTAGTGGATAAAAATGTGTTGACATAATTAATTAGACAAGCCGTAAATATAATTAATTATTAACTAATTAAACAAGTTTATTTAATAATTTTAAATAGATGGTTAGTATTTATTTAAAGCTTTGTTTAGTACATATTTTGGAGAAGGTGAAATTTCAGGAACAGGATTATCATTTTTAGGATTTCAGGGTTATTTAACTAATCCAAGTAGAGCTATGACAACTATTTGTGCTGGAAAAAGCCTTTTAGGTGGAGCTTATTTGAGTTCTATTAATTCTTCAATAAATAAATCATTTAATAGACTGTAAATTTAATTAGAATTTAAGAGGAAAATGAATTTGAAAAATATTGAAATTTTTTTATTAAATAAGCGCTCCTCATTGGAGTGTATTGGTAGGTTACACACTATACAAAATTGATAATTGGAACAACGAATCTGTTTAAATGATAATAGATGGTGATATAAAAGTCACTACTACTCGTAACACAACTACAAGTAATGGATTAAGTAATATTTGTGGTAGGGTTTCTTTCAACGACGAAATTATATATGTTTCTCAAAATTTTACGCATTCAAGCTAAAATCTTAATTTAAAAATAAATTCTACATTATCTTAAACAGCCTTTGAATAATCTTATGGCATCAGAGAATTATTTATTTTAGTTGATTATGTAAATTAAATTGTTAAATTATTTTAATACATTAAAAATTTTCAATCTTTTCATTAAAAGTGTCCTCCTAATTGCGGTGCTTGTAATGCCAATGGTTGCACAAAATGTTCAGATGATTTATTTGTATACAATTTCTAGTGCGTAACTGAATGTCCTAGTAATTATGCCCCTGATACAAGTAATATATGTTAACCTTGTGATGCATCATGTCTCACGTGCTCACTTCCATGTAAAAAAAATATTATTTTTATTTATAAAAGTTACTTAAAATAGTAATATATATTGAAGAAGAAGAGAATAATTTAGATTAAAATTTATTGTCATTCTAATTTTAAATATAATTAGAGAGTACTACTTCTTGTCAAACTTGCAAACCTAACACATATCTTAATCCAGATAATTCATGTTAAAATACATGTGTAGACAATTATTGGCCTGATAGTACCAAATAAATTTGTTAGACTTGCAGTCCTACTTGCTATAATTGTAAAAGTCCAGGTAAACTATATAAAAATTTAACAATTTCGTTATTTATTAAATAATTAAAAGTTTATAATATTGAAAAAATATCAAATAAATTCGTGAAAAATTTATTATTTAAAATTAGGAGATTCAAAATCTTGCTTAAGTTGTAGTGGAGATTTATATTTGAATAATAATTAATGCCTTTCTACTTGTCCTCCTGGATAGTACCCTTTTAAATGTAAAATTATTTTTTTAAAGCCAAAAATAAATAAATTTTAAATTTATTATTAAATTTAGAAACCAACAATAATATTTGTCAATCATGTGATAAAAATTGCAAAACTTGCAACGGATAAAATAGCAACAACTGTTTAAGCTGTTAAGCTCCTTTATTTTATTAAGCTAGCTCATCAACTTGTGAGTCTAGTTGTAATGCTAATTAATATAAGAATGATACTAACTAGTCTTGTTCTCCTTGTCCTTCTAATTGTGCTACTTGCTCAGGACCCAACAATAATAATTGTTTATCATGTTCTGGAAATTTATTTTTTTATTAAAACTAATGTATTCCTAACTGTCCTGATGGTTTCTTTAACGATAATACTAATAATACATGCTCTCCATGTGATAGTACTTGTTTTACTTGTAATGGCAGTAAGTAAAATAATTGTCTCTCCTGCTAAAATAAAAGATATTTTAATCCTCTTTCTAACTAATGTGTTTACACTTGTAATTCAAATTAATATCCAGATCAAACTTCTAATTAATGTAAATCTTGTGATACTTCATGTTTGACATGCAATGGCCCCACATCGTAATTTTGCACCAGTTGCATAAATGGTAAAATTCCTTTTTGTAATAATACCTAAAATGCTATTTTTCAATACTTAAATTAAAAAAGGTCTTTTCTTAGAAAATAATTAATGTGTTTAAAAATGCAGTCAAAATTATTATGTTTAACCTAATACTAATATTTGTTAGTAATGCCATAATTCATGCTTAACATGTAGTGGTCCTTCCTCTAAAGAAGTAATTAAATCAAATAGTCAATCATTTAAAAAATAATTTTTTATTTTTCAATTAAAAGTGTACTTCATGTGTATCCAGTTTAATATTCATCAACTCTTAGTGCTACTCAGAATGTCCTAATGGATATTATACTTTATAAGGTTAATAAAAGAAAGAATGTATATTATGTAATTACAAATGTAATTTAGGATGCAGTGGAGAACTAGCTGAAGATTGTGACTCTATTAAATACTAATATTAAATTATATTTTACATTTTGGCTGGAAAATGCTTTATTTGGCTTATTTCTTCTATTTCAGGATTTATTTTGGATAAAAAGTAGTCTAAAGTATAAGTTGAACCTCCTAGGACTTCTGTTTTTGTAGGCGATAAATAGGATATATAAATTAATAATTTTAACTCTCCTTAAGTTGAGAATGATATTTAAAATCTATAACAAAATGGTATAGAAGAGAAATTATCAAGTAAATCTAAGCCAGAATCTGCCTCTTCATAAAATTAATAAGATATTATTAATGTAGAAAAGCAAGCACATTAAGTTTAAATTAAACTTGATTCAGATAAATTAAAAAATATAGGCAATAGGAGGCCAAGACAAAAATTTCACAAGGACCCTTTTTATGATAAGTAGATATAATAATTTGAGTTTTAATTGCCATCAAGTGCCTTTACTGTGAATGGTGGCTAAAATGTTAAGGGTTAAAATGAATAAGCACAAAGTATATCTACTATTCCAAATATATAAAAATCAGGCTGTTAAATTTAGGAAAATTAAGAAATAAAACCTTATGTTTAAAAATATAAAACTGCTTAGCTATTAAAATTTGCTTTAGTAATAAAAATTTTTAAAAAAAATTAAGTTATATTAATATTATTGTCTAAAATATAGTTAGGTAATGAGTGGGTTTCTCTATTCTACTTTTACGATTCAAATTTAAATAGATTTACAAGGGCAACTTTAATATTAGTGAAGTACTTAGCTTTTTTTTTATCGGCAGAGCTTTTATGCTAAGTAAATAATTTATTTATTTTATCACTAGTTATTAAATTTAAATTAAAATAGAAAGCAATATATTTGATAGCAATTTCCTTCATCTTTGGATGGACTATGAAGTAGTTTTTTACCTTATTTCATCGCTCGATAACTAAAATGTCATCAAAATGTGTATAATTAGCTACTTTTTTTTTGATCACTTTAATAGCAGCACATATTACTTTATGGTTTATTCCTCAACTAAAAAGCCTTTAAATGTTAAAAGATATCAGATGGAGCTTACTTTATGTGATTGTTTTTGTAGCTGATTTGATTATATTTTAACAGATATTTAGTTTATTCTAATTAATTTTGACAGTAAAATATTTAAATTAGTAATTTAATAAAGTGAAGATATCAAAAATTTAATTTTTGCTGGCAAACAAATATTTTATATAAAAAATCTCCTAAATTAGAGATTGATTATGTATTAAATGTATATATTATATATTTGATTATTTTTATTAAATTAATTTTATAATAATTATATTTTAAGTTATTATGTTTTTATTTATTTGAATATTCATCAATTCTTATTAAATAAAATCTTATTATTTCAGGAGTTAAAATTTCTGAATCTTCAAAAAAAATGGCATTATTTATACATAAATAATTTAATAGTAATATAAAAATAATTAATTATTAAGATTGTAGTAAATTTTGAAAACAGTTAGGAGATTTATCTCAAAATCTAAATTATATTTTTAATACACATTTAATAAAATTAAATAAATAATATATTATGTGATAACAATTTATACCATTTCTTTTTAAACATATTTTTTTATTATCCTTATTTAGCTTTACTTTGATTTATGTAAGCAAGCATTGCAATCAAAGGACGAATAACTAAATTTTTTAGATAATTAATAAAAAAAATTTAAGATTTTGAAAGCTAAAAAATATCTCTTAGTGACGCTACTCTTATTTGATAAATCAAATATTTAATCTAAGAAATTGTAAGTTAAAATCAACAATATCTTGTTTGAAAAATGTAAGGATTTCCTTTTTTTAAATTTTTAGGGTAGATTATCACACAAATTTACAAAAATACTAATAAATAGTTGAAAATCTATAATAAAATTAGATTTAGTAAAATTTTTAAGTACTTAGTTAACAAATATTTTATATTAAAATTAAGATATATTAATATACACATACATATGTTTTTATTTATTTCATTCTATTAATATATAATAAGATAAGGATACTATCCCAGACTCATTTTGATCAATTTTTAAAAATACTTACCTTCAAGTTAATTAATTCCAAATTCAGAAAAAAAATTAAGAATAATTATTTGATTTAAAACTCACAATAGATAATATCTATTATGATTTTTATTAAAAATAAATAGTATTTAATATATTTGTGGGATGAAAATTTTTTAATAAAAAAATTGAGAAATAAAATATCATTACTAATTTAATAAATTTAAGTTACTCAAAGTATGAAAAAATACACAAATAATCTGATGTACTAATAGATTATTTTTAAAAAAAGATTTATAAAATATATGCTTGAATGATACAAGCAAAATTTAATAGCATATAAAATAATACACAGAGAGAGAAGAAAAAAAGTTTTAAAGAAAGATAAAAAAGCTATGAATAAAAATTCTAAATTTGTTTGCTCAAATTCAAGCCTATAATATAAGCGAAGAGCATTTTGTAAAATTTTATGATAAATTTTAAATTTAAGAAAAAAATAATTTTTGAATATTTTGTCTTTTATTTTATTTATTTTACTTATTCATTTTCAAACAGAAGAAATACATTTATTTTAAAAGTAAAGTAATGAAGCAATTTCATTTTTAAGAAATTAATCATAAGTAATTATTTTCTTTTATCTTTTTAAATTAATGAATCTATCTATACATTTAGATATCTGTAAAAAGTATATAAATCAACATCCATTTATTTATTCCAGTAAATTAGATTGCTAATCACTAGAAAGTAAAAATTTTTTTTCAGAAAAACAAATAGAGTAATATATGTAATTGATATTTTAATTTACTTGATAGAAAATTTTAGTTACTAAGATACGATATTTAAAAATGAACTGATATATTGTTTATCACCATACAAATATTTAACGCAATAAGAAATATAAATTAAAATAGTAACTTTATAATTAATAAAATAGAATTTCTTTATTTGAGTTTTTAGCATTTTTATAACTAAATTTACTTCAGATTTTCAGTCTAAGATTGTATGGTAAATTTAAATTATTTTGCTTATGATTAAAGAGTAATAATAAATTATTTTGAGGGGAAAATATAAAAAAAACAAAAAGATAGAACTTAATTAAAAAAATTATCTATTTATTATTCTTTATTGATTGATTTTTTTAAATTATGTTTGTTTAAATTTATTTTTAGTTAATAAATAGTAAAGAAAAATTATTTTTAATCAATTTAACAATATCACTTTTTAATCTTCATATCTTAATAGCAAAGGCTAGAATTAACTATTAAATTATTTATTAATGAAAATTAAATACTCTAACCATACCGATTAATTTTACCACTTATTTAACTTAAAGCTTTTTATTCATCAAATTGTAATATCACCTTATTAAATATTAATTTTTTCTGTATCAAATAATTAATATTCAAATATATAAATATTATTTGATTAATTGGAATAATATTAACAAAAACTAGAAAACATCTTTTGATTAAATTTCCTAAAGTTTATTTTTCAATATCAGTATATGGCAATAAAATATACTTTGCTCCTGTAAATTATTACATTAATACGCATAACTTATGGAGGTATAGTTTTTTTTCTCACTAATTTTATTAATTTATTCAAATAACAAAACAATGTATGATAAATCGATAGCTGAGAAACTTGTGTTATCAGAATTAACTTCCACCTTCTCAAGTCCTAGTGTTTAATGGTCTTAAACTACTGTCACTTAATGCCAAACAGCAGATTTTACAGAATTTTCAAACCAAAGCGTTATGGGATTTTTTGGTTTAGGTGCGACTACTTCTACTAGAACATTTACAAATATTCCTCCTCACTGGAGTATATCAATCAGATTTGATTTAATACTTTACCAATCTTTAGACATTAATGAAGATTATATCTATGTGAAGATTAATGGAAACACAGATACTTATGTTAAACAAAATCCTGCTGGAGGTTATTATACATGCATTACTACAAACTAATATAAAGATGAATTAGTCCTCTACTATTATAATATTACGCATTCAAGTTCTTCCTTAGCTGTGACAATATAATCTCTAACAAATGAGCCAATATCAAATGAAGGCTATGGTTTTAAGAATGTTTATCTGTATGTAGATACTTGTCATGATACTTGCTTGACTTGCAGTGGACCTACTGCTTCATAGTGTCTATCTTGTCCTCAATATTCTACATAAACCGGAAATACATGTACATGCAATTCTGGCTACTATGCCTTAAGCAATTCGTGCATTTTAAGTTGCTAAGCAGGATATGTTAAAGATTCTACAGGTAAACTCTGTGTTTAAGATTTTTGTAATAGTTCTACTTGCAATAATTGTTCAAGTGGTTTATGTACTTCTTGCAAATCAGGATTTTACTTATTAAATGGAAATTGTGTATCAAGTTGCCCATCATACTCTACATTAAGTGGATAGTAATGCATAGATAAAATGTCTTCAACTAGCTGTATTTTCTATATTTTTATATTATATTTTTATTTAACAATCAAATTTTTAAGATGGAAGCTATTTGCTATAAGCAATGTTTAATACTTACTTTGGAGAGGGTGAAGTTATTGGGGCTGGTCTAAAATTTACAGGATTTCTAGGGTATAATTCATAAGCTAGTAGAGCATTGACTACAGTTTGTAATGGTAAAACATTACTAGGTGGAGCATATCTAAGTTCAAAGAATGCTTAAATTTCTAGATAATTTACTGGATTGTAAACTTCTTATACTTTAATAGATATAAATATAATAATCAATATATAAATAAATTTAACTTTTTAGATAACCTCACTGGTCTATAGTTATTGGATATACTTTATATAAAATTGATGCATGGAATAATGAAAATGTTTAATTAACTGTAGATGGTTAGGTATTAGTTACAACAACACAAAACATAAATGATGGGGGATCAAATATATGTGGGAGAGTAGTATACAATGATTAAATTAATTAAATTTCTAAAAATTTTACTCATACAAGCACTTCACTTAGCTTACAATTTACAACTAGTTTAAATAGCGACCCGTTTGTTGAATCCTATGGTATTAGAGAGTTATATATTCTAGTTGATTACGTAAATATTTATTATATATCAATCGACTAAAAAACCTTTATTTATTTTGTTATTATTTTTAAATATAGTGCACTTCTAATTGTTTAACTTGTGATGCTAAAGGATGCAGCAAATGCTCATCTACCTATTTTCTCTACAATTATTAGTGTGTTCTTGTATGTCCAGATGGTTTTGCTTCAGATTCAAATAAAACTTGCTAACCATGTGATTCAACCTGCTTAACTTGCTCAACTCCATGTAAATAATTAAAATAAAAAAAGGAATTAAATAAATAATAACTATTTAAGAAACAGATTATTTATTGTTTTATTATTTATTTAATTATTATATTTATTTCAAAAAGAAAGCAATACCTCTTGTGTAACTTGTAAGCCTAATACATATTTAAATCCAGATAAATCATGTAAAATCAACTGTCCTTCCTAATATTGGGGTGATAATACATGGAAGTGCTAATAATGTAACTCTCCATGTTATAATTGCAAAAGTCCTGGTATTAATTTTTTTCAGAAGTTTAATGATAAAAATAAATAAAAAATATTATTTTTTTCAAAGACTAAATATATATTTAATTGATAAATAGGAGATTCTAATTCATGTACTAGCTGCTCTGGTACTTTGTACTTATCATCAAATTAGTGCATAAACACATGCCCTTCTAATACATACAAACAAACATGTAAAAATAATAATTATTATTTTTTATTAATATTAAGAATATTTATCAATTAGAAACTAACAATAATATTTGTTAACCATGTGATAGCTCTTGCAAAACATGTGATGGACCTAACAATAATAATTGTTTGAGCTGTTTAGCTCCTGGTTTATTTTACTAATAACAATCTAAAACTTGTGTATCCAACTGTGATCCAAATTAATATAAGAATATTTAGGATCCAAACAATTAAACTTGCTCTGCTTGTGATTCATCATGTGCAACTTGTTCAGGTCCTAATAATAATAATTGCCTTACATGTACTGGAAGTTTATACTTATATTAAAATAAATGTATTCCTAACTGTCCTGTAAAGTATTATAATAACATTCAGAACAATTAGTGTACTTAATGTGACTCTACTTGCTACACTTGCAGTGGAGCAGCTCCTAATAACTGTAAATCTTGCTAGTTACCATTATATTTTGATTCTGGGTCAAATCAGTGCGTTCAGTAATGTAGTTCAAATTAATATCCTGATTCAGTCTCAATTTCATGCTAATCATGTGATCCTTCATGTTTGACATGTGATGGTCCTACTGATTCAAACTGCAAAAGTTGCAAACAAGGTTTATACAATTATAAAATATAAAAAACTTTAAAATTGATGTTTATTTTATTAAAAAGGATTATTTTTGTAAAATAATTAATGTAAATCCAAATGTGATGATTCTAATTATGTTGTGCCTCAAACTAATATTTGCTAAAAATGTGACTCTACATGCTTAACCTGTTCTGGACCTTCATAATCTGAAGTAATTAATTATTGAAGAGTCATAATTTAATTAATTAATATTATTTTATATAAAAAGTGTCTTTCTTGTTCATCTTAATTAATCTTTTTAAATAATTCCTGCCTTTCAGAATGTCCTAATAACTACTTTACTGATTAGTAGTAATAGACCAAAGAATGTAAAGAATGTCATAAATATTGTAAAATGGGATGTAAAGGTCCTTTAGAGGAGGATTGTGATTCAATCAAATATTAATATCAAATCATATTTTACATACTAACTGGTAAATGCTTTATTTGGATTGCTTCTTCGCTTTCTGGTTATTTCTATGATAAAAAATAATCCAAAATATTTACAGATACTAACTTCCCTCCTCTTTCTGTTAATAGTGATAAGATTTCTAATTTATTTGCAAGATAGAGCGAAAACTAATTTTTGTAAGAAAATAATAATAAAAATGAAGAAAAATAGTAAATATAAACTGCAACAGAGGCGCCCTCACAATAAAATGATAAAGATCTAATAGCGCAACAGCTGCAAACTTTGCAATTTTAAATGAAAATTGAATTAGATAAAATGAAAAGAGTCGGAAACAGAAGACCTAGATAAAAATTTTACAAATAACCTTTTTATGATAAATCATCTCAAATTTTTGAGTGCTAATTACCTCATATGAACGCAAATTAACCCACTCTTACTAAGAGCCTTAACTAGTTTGTGCCCACTTAGACAAATCTTATTGATCCATCTTATTTATCTAATTAAAAAGAGTTGAATAAAAGAGGAGTTTAGGTTATATTACCTTACATTTATAAGTATCAAGCAAATCAAATATTTAAGTTTACCTTAGTAATAACTTTCTTTAAAAAAATTGAGAATGGGAAATATATTTTTATTGAATTAAATTTTTAATAAGTATTAACAGTACAAAATAAAATATTATTCATTCTAACAGAGAATTAAATTTAAAAATGAATCCCTTCTTAGTTTAGTTTAAAAAATAAATTTTAATTAATTTTTTATTTAATATTTAGTTAGGAAATGAATGGGTATCTTTATTTTATTTTTATGATACAGAAACAACTAGGTTTATAAGAGCAACTCTAATATTTTTAAAATACTAAGCATTTTTCTTATCAACTGAATTTGTTTATGAAGTAAACTTATTACTTTATTTGATATAAAATATTTAACAAATTAAATAAATTAATATTTAGAGCTTTTAGTATTTGCTAATTTTAGCTTTGTTATTCAGTATAACAGTTAAATAAGCTTTTAAGATTATACATTTAGTATTGGTGAGAAAATCTTTTAAATTAATAGCAGCCTTTGTGTTCTTTTTCATCGCAATTTTGGGCATACATGCGTATTTTTGGTTTGTACCTTAACTAGAATCTTTAAAGTTTTTAAAAGATAAAACTTGGAGTATTTACTATGGAATACTCTTTGGAGCTGATTTCATTATATTTTAATAATTATTCAGCTTCATTGAGTATATCTTTACTATTAAGTATTTAAATGCATTATATAATGAAAATAAACTTGCTAACATGTACAAATACTTAGCTAACGAATATTTTATATAAAAAATAAGATGATTTAATAAAAGTAAGATATATATTTATATGTCTTTGTTTATATCAAGCTAAATCATTGTTCAAAAATATTTTTTATATTAATAAATTGATTGATTCTTTTTTTTAATTATTTCTTAATTTTAAAATAATACTGTAAATGCTCATTAATTAAGGCATTTTTTTCTTAAATTTTTTATTTTTTTGATTATGGTGTGGCACTTTTTTTTGGGCTAAAAAGATACTTAGGGAATGCCTTAATTAATGAGCATTTACAGTATATCAAAGAATAAAAATATTTTTACTTTATTAAACATTCATATTATTTAAACGTTTGTTTTTTAGTTAAAAATCTATTTATTAAAACTATTTTATTTATTTTCCTTTTTATCTTTTAAGAGCTCATTCAGAAAAATGTAATATTCAGAATTTTTGTTTTTTATACTGTTTTTATCTAAAACAAACAAATATATGTTAAGAAATACCAGAGATTCTCTACAGAAATCATCCATTTATTTCATATTACAATCATTTAAATATTTTAAATTCCATACCAATAACCCTAAGTCTTTCAGCACAAATTATCTGTAAAATTAGAATCAGCTATTAATATAAAATTTAATTAAATTATTTCTAAAAATAAATACTTGTTTCTAAACACATTTAATGACTCTCTTATACACTATAACAGTAAGTTTTAACATGATTATGTAATTATTTTATTTTGGATAGTTTTATCAGGGGAACAAATATAACTCTACCATGAAATCTAAGTATGGGCAATATTATGATTCGTTCAATTCCAGTTGCTGAGATAAATTTTGTCCTCAGTTTCTGTTAGGATTTCTTACTCTTCTCAATCTACGTCTAGAGCATTTTTTTTTTGTCAAATTTTTTTAATTATTTATACATCCCTAATATAATGGAAGTAAACTTCCTAAAATAAAATGATAAGTTATTAAAATATATATTTGTAATCATATGTACATATTTATTTTAGTAACTTTTTATAAAATAGATTTTAAAACTTATAAAAGCATTTTCAGAAATATTAATAACTAAAATCTTTTGTTTTGTATTCCAAAAAAAGTCTTTTTTTAAAAAATAAAAACATATTGAGTAAAAACTTTTCTTCATTAGCTTTTTTAATTTAGATTACTTAAATCAAATAAGATACTAAAATGATTTGATTCTACTGATAAATTTTTTGCAAAAGATTTATTAATATATGATTATTGAATAAATATTTTATCAACATCAGATGAAATATTATTTTAAGCAGATTGTGATTGGTTAATACTAAAATTGTTACATTGAACTGAATCTATATCTCATAAAGATATAGATTGTTTAAGGATTTTTAAAAAAATATTAACCATTATTATTTTTAAATTTCAAACCATTATCCTATCTAGGTATTTTACACAACTTAATTTTGATTTTTCAAAATAACAAACAATTATTTATGAAATATGACAAAATGTATAAATTCCCTAAATTTAAATTTGGTTTTAAAATCAGAACTAATAGTTAAATTTAAAATTAATGAAGTATTTTTGTTTAGAATAATTCAAATATTTAGTTTTTGTAATATTTTTACTTATCTTCCTTTGATTTTTTAGTATAATTTGATTTAAGTAAGATAATGTTAGACGTATGCTCTAATGTAAATAAATAATCATTCATTAATTTACCCCAGTAAAAATAGTTAATCAAAATCACTAAAATTAATTGAATTTTTATATTTATAATAAAATTATTGCTTATACCATTTTAGATATGTATATATGTATGTACAAATAAAATTAACTTTATTTAATAAATTGTTTTACTTTAATATTTTTATTCTTTTTATAAAAGAATTCATTCATTAATTTTTCAAGACTCACCTATTACCTCCTCTTTAATTTATTCAAAATTAAATTTAATTCTTAATTAAAAAAATGGATTGCTTTAATTATTTCAATAATAAAAAGGAGACTCAAATTCTTGCACAAGTTGCAGTGGTTCATTATATTTGTATTAAAATTAATGTATAAGCACATGTCCTTCCAATACCTTTCCTATATAATGTAAAATTGTTTAATTTTACTTAAATTAATATTTTTTATCAAAAGAAACTAATAACAATATTTGTTAACCATGTGATTAATCATGTGAAACTTGCAATGGAGCTGGCAACAATAATTGCTTGAGTTGCATAGCCCAGGATTTATTTTATTAGCAAACCTCTAAAATGTGTGTATAAACATGCAATACTAATTAATATTAAAATAAAAGTAATTAAACATGTTCTTCTTGTAATTCTTCATGTGCCTCTTGTTCTGGTCCTAGTAATAAAAATTGTCTCTCTTGCTCTGGAAACACATTTTTATTTGAAAACTAGTGTATTACCTAATGTCCAGTAAACTATTATAACAATTCTAAAAATAACCAGTGTACTACATGTGACTCTACTTGTTTTACTTGCAATGGAAGTTCTTGTAATAATTTTTAATCCTGTTAATTACCTAGATATTTAGACCCTATTTAAAATTAATGTCTTACTACATGTAGTTAGAATTAATATCCTGATGCAAACTCTGTTTCATGCAAATAGTGTGATTCTAATTGTTAAACTTGTAATGGATCATCTGCATCTAATTGCTTAAGCTGCAAATAAGGTTAATAATGATAACAAATTATTAAAAATTTTCAAAATTTTTTTATTTTTAAAAAGGATTATTTTTGCAAAATAATTAATGTGTATAAATATGTGATGGCTCTTATTATCCTGATCCTCAAACTAATACTTGTTAAAAATGTCACTCTTCCTGCTAAACGTGTTCAGGATCTTCTTAATCTGAAGTAAATTATATTTGATGAATTACCATTTAAATAATTTATTATATTTAAAAGTGTCTTAAATGTTAATCAAGTTTAATTTTTATAAACAAATCCTGTCTTTCAGATTTTCCAAATAACTACTTTACTGATTAGTAGTAATAGGTCAAAAATTGTAAAGAATGTCATAAACATTGTAAGTTGGGATGTACAGGTCCTTTGGAGGAAGACTGTGATTCTATTAAATACCAATATCAAATAATACTTTATATTCTTACTTTTAAAAGTTTTACTTGACTTACTTCCTCCTTTTTTGGCTATATTTATGATAAAAAATAATCTAAAATATAAACCAATACTAATATTCCTGCTCCTTCGATTATTAGTGAAAAGGATTCCAAATTATTTTGATAGTAAAATGACAACTAATTTATGTAGGAAAATGATAACAATCAAAAAAGCCAGGAAAAACCATAAATATAAAATCCAAAAGGGTCATTTGAATAGCAAAACACATAAAATTAATTAGTACTTAAGCATTGAATAGATTTAGATTAAATGAAAAGAGTTGGAAATAGAAGACCTAGATAAAAATTTTACAAACATCATTTTTATGATAGATCTTAATAGACTTTTGAATGCTAATTACCTTATTTCGATACAAATTAACTTTCTCATACTAAAACAGCAAGCTAATTAGTATCTACATAGAATAATTTTGTTAATCCTTCATTTATCTCTAATGGAAAAGTATTAAATAAAAGCGGGGTTTAAATTAAATTACATCCCGTCATTAAGTATAAGCCTAATCAAATATTTAAGTTTACCATAGTAAATATTTTATTTTAAACATTGAGTTTTCATTCAAACATTCAATTTAAAAAATAACAAAAAAATAAGATATTTTTACTTAAAAATATAAATTGAAACAAATAATAAACCCTTTTTACTTTAATGTAATACATTTCAATCATTTTTTAAAAAACTTAGTTAGGTAATGAATGGGTGTCTTTATTTTAGTTTAATGATACAGAAGCATCTAGATTTGTAAGAGCAACTTTAATATTTTTAAAATACTAAGCATTTTTCTTATCTACTGAATTTGTATATGAGGTAAATTTATCTATTGTTTAAAAACAATATTTAATTAATAATATAAATAAATAGAACTTACAATTTATGATAATTTTTGCATTATTGTTCAGTTTAGTAGTTAAACAAACTTTTAAAATTATTCAATAAGCATTGGTTAGACTATCTTTTAAATTTATATCGACTATTGTATTTTTCTTCATAGCAATCTTAGGTATACATATCTATTTTTGGTTTTTACCTTAGCTTGAGTCTTTAAAATTTTTGAAGGATAGAATATGGAGTATTTATTATGGATCAGTTTTTCTCGTTGATTTCTTTATATTTTAATAATTACTAAGTTTATTTGAGTACATCTTTGCTATTAAGTACATATATGCTTTATATAATGAAAGTAGTAGTGCTAAAATATACAAATTTTTAACTAACTTATATTTTGTATAAAAAATAAGGTGATTAGCTATATATCTGTATCAATTTTAAACTAGAAATGTCTTTTTTTAACAAAGGAATGCGCATGCACAGTCAATAGTATACTTCATGTATGCATGAAAATAGTTAATATAGTAAAAAATTTTTTAGAGCTTTAACTATTTGAGCAAATATTAAGTTTTAAAGTACCTATTATATTTAATAATAAACTATTTTTAATTGAAGATTAAATTTTAATAATTAAAAGAACTTCATTTTTAATAAAAATTAATAACCTAATTTATATTAATTAGATTATTAATTGGATTATCTAGCATAAATTTGGTAATAAATTCTATTTATTTTATCTCAGCTGATTTAACTACTATATACTGGCTCAGGAAATTAAACCAAAAAGTATTTTTGTTTCAATATTTTATAATTTTAAAATATTTATGAAGGGGTTTTAATAAACATATGTATTAGACAAATTTGATTTAATAAAAATTATAAATTTTAAAACTGATGATTTTTATAACTATCGGCTAAACTTTCAAACCCCCCTCATCCCCCCTAATTAGGACTGTTTATAGGCATAAAAATTGTGCCCTTTAATAATAAAAATATTTCTTTGAAATATCTCTCCTAGTTTTGGATTTATGATACTTTTCCGAAGACTTTTTAAAGTAGGTATATGTACTTATTTCCCTTTATGTAAATAAATAATAAATAATCATTCATTAATTTACTCCAGTAATAATAATTAATCAAAATCACTAAAATTGAATATTTCTGATTATTAAAGAGAGATTATTGTGTTTACTATATTTAGTCCTGAAATAGTATAATTAGGTAAGATTTTAATACATAAATATCAAATAGCATTTCTCTGTCAAAGAGTAAATATCCTAACAAATAATTAGCATGATATTCAATAAAATATATTATTCTTTATTTATCTAAAATAGATATTCTCACTAAATTTACTTAATGTTCAAGGAAAATACAATAAATAACAAAAGGATTTAACTTGATTCATAAAACCCATTTTGTACATAGATTATGTTTTTCAAAATAATTATTTTAATAAATATTTAAATTTTTGGCTTTTAATAATAAATAAAATTATTACTAACCTATTTTAATACAAAATTTATTGAAAATTAATTTATATATCTAATATATTTTTTTTGCAATAGTATAAATTATTTAACCATTATTACTTGGATTAATATAAATCGCAATTTCATCAATTTTACCACTCATTTAAATGAATCCTTTTTTATTCATAAAAATGTAATATCTCCTTAAAATTTTAATTAGATGATATTGTATATTTGCTAATATTAATTAATTTAAAAATAAAAGTTCATACTTGATAAAGTAATAAAAAAAGTAGAAGAAACATTTAATTTAATTTTGTTAAGGTTAATTTTTAAATTTTGTAAAAATGATGACTACCAAATATACTTCACTCCTATAAATTCTTATTTTAATACATGTAGCTTGTGGAGGTATACTTTGTCTTTTTAATTCTCTTTTTAAGTTTATTCAACTAGGAAAATAACTTATTTTAAATTTATAGCTGAGTAGATTGTGGCATAGGAGTTGACTTCAAATTTCAATAGCTCTGGCGTTTAATGGGTTTCAAATAAAGTATCCTAATGCTAAACGACTGATTTTACAGAATTTTCAAACTAAAGTGTGATGGGATTTTTTGGATAAGGTGATACTACTTCTTCTAAAACATTTACAAATATTCCTCCTCATTGGAGTCTATCAATCAGATTTGACTTGATTCTTTATTAATCTTTAGATCCTAATGATTACATCTATGTTAAGATTAATGGAAACACAGATACATATCAAAAATAGAGTGCTGGTGGTGGATAATTTTTATGCTTTCCATCAAACGGATGGAGGGATGAATTAGTCCTATACTATTATAATATTACGCATTCAAGTTCTTCCATAACTGTAGCAATTCAATCTCAAACAGACGAAGCTATAAGTAATGAGGGTTATGGTTTTAAGAATTTTTATCTATATGTAGATACTTGTCATGACTCTTGCTTAACTTGTAGTGGTCCTACAGCAAATCAATGTCTAAAATGCCCACCTAATTCTACTTAAAGTGGAAATACTTGCACATGCAGTCCGGGTTACTCTGCGTTAAGCAATTAATGCATTCTAACTTGTCAAGCAGGATACGTTAAAGATTCTACAGGTTAACTGTGTGTTTAAGATTTTTGTAGCACTTCTACATGTAATACTTGCTCAAGTGGTTTGTGTACATCTTGTAAATCAGGATTTTTTTTACTAAACGGATATTGTGTATCAAGCTGCCCATCATACTCTACATTAAATGGGTAGTAATGTTAAGATTTAAAATCTTTAACTAGCTGTAAATTCTATATTTTAATTTTTTATTTTTAATTAAAAATCTAAATTTTAAGATGGAAACTATTTGCTGTAAACTATGTTTAATACATATTTTGGTGAGAGTGAAATTAAAGGCGCTGGCCTCACTACCTCAGGATTTTTAGGTTTTAATTCGAAATCTAGTAGGGCATTAACAACTGTTTGTAATGGTAAAACAATATTAGGTGGAGCATATTTAAGTTCACTGAATGCTTAGATTTCTAGTTCGTTTACTGGATTGTAAATTTCTAATATTTTACCAGTAAAATCTGATTTTTAATTAACTTTTTTTTAGATAACCTCACTGGTCTATTGCAATAGGATATACTTTATATAAAATTGATTCATGGGATAATGAAAATGTTTAATTAATTGTAGATGGAAGTGCTTAGATTACAACAGTAAGAGGCTTAAGTGATGGGGGTGCAAATTTATGTGGAAGAGTATAATATAATGATTAAATAATCTACAATTTTAAAAATTTTACACATACAAGTACTTCGCTTAGCTTATAATTCAAAACAAATTTAGACACAGAACCTTTTGATGAGTCATATGGTATAAGAGAGTTATTTGTGCTTGTTGATTATGTAAAAAAAATAAAATAACTAAATAAAATGCATTTATTTTTATTATAATTTAAAATAAAGTGTTCCCCTAATTGTTTAGTCTGTGATGCTAAAGGATGTAGTAAATGTTCCTCCAGCTATTTTCTGTATAACCTTTAATGTGTATCTACATGCCCAGATGGATTTGCTACAGATTCAAATAAAATTTGTCAACCATGTGATTCTACATGCTTAACTTGCTCAACTCCTTGTAAATTATTTTTTTAAAATAAAAAATAAATTCATTATTAAGTTTTCAAGATAAAAATTATTATTGGTCTTTATTTGTTGAATTAAAATAAGATAATCTTTTTTATTTTAAAAAGAGAGCAACACTTCCTGCTTAACTTGTAAGACTAATACATATTTAAATCCAAATAAATCCTGTCTAAGCAATTGCCCTTCAAAATATTGGACTGACCAGACTAATTGGAAATGTTAAGTATGTGATCCTACATGTTATAATTGTATAAGTCCTGGTAATAAATTTAATTTTATAATAATTTTAAATAAAAATGAAAAAAACTATTCTTTGAATTAAATTTATTATTATTTCTTTGAGAGTATATTATAAATTCAAATTTAAATAGGAGATTAAAATTCATGTACAAGTTGCTCGGGTACTTTGTACTTATTTTCTAATTAGTGCATAAACACATGTCCTACTAATACGTTCTATTTAACATGTAAAAATTGTTTATTTTTGTTTTAAGTAATAAAATTTTCAATAAATTAGAAACTAACAATAATATTTGTTAACCTTGTCATAATTCTTGCAAAACATGCGATGGGCCAAACAACAATAATTGTTAAAGTTGTTTAGCTCTAAGTTTATTTTAATAGAGCTCAAAAACATGTGTATCTTAGTGTAATCCAAATCAATACTAAAATAATTCAGATCCTAACAATTTAATTTGTTCTTCTTGCGATCCATCATGTGCAACATGTTCAGGTCCTAATAATAATAATTGTGTTACATGCACTGGAAGTTTATTCTTATATTAAAATTAATGTATTTCTAACTGTCCTAAAAAGTATTATAATAATACTCAGAATAATTAGTGTACTTAGTGTGACTCTAGCTGCTATACATGCAATGGAATAGCTACTAATAATTGTACATCTTGTTAATTACCTTTATATTTTGAACCTACATCAAATTAGTGTCTTTAAAATTGCAATTCAAATCAATATCCTGACACAAATTCTATCTCATGTAAATAATGTGATAATTCCTGCTTAACATGTGATGGTCCATCTACTTCAAATTGTAAAAGCTGCATATAAGGTAATAAAATATTTTAACTTTTTAGCCTAACTATTAAAATAAAATAAAAATATTTTTTTAAAAGGACTATTTTTATAAAGTAAATAATGCTTATCTAAATGTGATGATTCCTATTTTGTCCTATCTTCTACTAATATTTGCTAAAAATGCGATGCAACATGCTACAACTGTTAAAGTCCTGGTAAATATTCAATTTTATTTTGAGGGAGGGTATTAGCAATAGTGGTCTTCAAAAACGAATGAAATTTATTTATTTTTCCATATATAAAAATTCATTAATTTTTCAAGACTCGCTTATTACCTCCGCTTTAATTAAATTAAAAATTAAATTTAATTCTTCATAAAAAAAATGAATTGCTTTAATTATTTCAATAATAAAAAGGAGACTCAAATTCTTGCACAAGTTGCAGTGGATCATTATATTTGTATTAAAATTAATGCATAAGCACATGTCCTTCCAATACCTTTCCTATATTATGTAAAATTGTTTATTTTTTCTTAAATTAATATTTTTTTATCAAAGAAACTAATAACAATATTTGTTAACCATGTGATTAATCATGTCAAACTTGCAATGGAGCTGGCAACAATAACTGCTTGAGCTGCTAAGCCCCAGATTTATTTTATTAACAAACCTCTAAAATGTGTGTATAAACATGCAATACTAATTAATATTAAAATACAAGTAATTAAACATGTTCTTCTTGTGATCCTTCATGTGCCTCTTGTTCTGGTCCTAGTAATAAAAATTGTCTCTCTTGCTCTGGAAACACATTTTTATATCAAAACTAATGTATAGCCTAATGTCCAGTAAATTATTATAACAATACTTAAAACAACTAGTGTAGTCCATGCGACTCTACATGCTATACGTGTAACGGGGCTAACAATAATAATTGTTTAAGCTGCAAAGCCCCTTACTTTTATTAATAGGTCTCTAGTACATGTGTATCCAAATGCAATTTAGATTAATACTAAAATCAAATTAATTAAACATGTTCTTCTTGTGATCCATCGTGTGCCTCTTGTTCTGGTCCTACTAATAGCAACTGTCTCTCTTGCTCTGGTAACACATTTTTATTTGAAAACTAGTGTATTACCTAATGTCCAGTAAACTATTATAATAATTCTAAAAATAACCAGTGTACTCCATGTGACTCTACTTGTTTTACGTGCTATGGAGGTTCTTCTAATAATTGTTAATCTTGTTAATTACCTAGATACTTAGACCCTGTTCAAAATTAATGTCTTACAACATGCAATTATAATTAATATCCTGATGCAAACTCTGTTTCATGTAAACAGTGTGATTCTAATTGCTAAACTTGTAATGGACCATCTACATCTAATTGCTTAAGCTGCAAATAAGGTAAATAAAATGATAAAATTCTACAAAATTTTATAAATTTTTTTATTTTTAAAAAGGATTATTTTTGCAAAATAATTAATGTGTATAAATATGTGATGGTTCTTATTATCCTGACCCTTAAACTAACACTTGTTAAAAATGTGACTCTTCCTGCTAAACGTGTTCTGGACCTTCTTAATCTGAAGTAATTTAAAATTGATGAATTACCATTTAAAAAATTTATTATTTTTAAAAGTGTCTTACATGTTAATCAAGTTTAATTCTTTTAAATAACTCCTGTCTTTCAGAGTGTCCACATAACTACTTTACTGATTAGTAGTAATAGGTCAAAAATTGTAAAGAATGTCATAAAAATTGTAAGTTGGGATGTACTGGTCCTTTGGAGGAAGACTGTGATTCTATTAAATACCAATATCAAATAATATTATATATTCTTACTTTTAAAAGTTTTACTTGGCTTACTTCCTCCTTTTTTGGCTATATTTATGATAAAAAATAATCTAAAATATAAACCGATACTAATTTTCCTGCTCCTTCAGTTATTAGTGAAAAGGATTCCAAATTATTTGGATAATAAAATGACGACTAATTTATGTAGGAAAATGACAATAATCAAAAAAACCAGTAAAAATCATAAATATAAAAGCGAAAAGAGTCTTTTGAACAAAGCACATAAAATTAATTAGCATCTTAAACATTGAATTTGTAATTTTAAATGAAAGTAGATTTAGATTAAATGAAAAGAGTAGGAAATAGAAGACCGAGATAAAAATTTTACAGACATCATTTTTATGATAGATCTTAATAGACTTTTGAATGCTAATTACCTTATTTTGATACAAATTAATTTTCTATTACTAAAACAGGAAGCTAATTAGTACCTACATAGAATAATTTTGTTAACTCTTAACTTACCTCTTATCAAAAAGTATTAAATAAAAGCGGGGTTTAAATTAAATTACCTCCCTTAATTAAGTATAAGCCTAATCAAATATTTAAGTTTACCATAGTAAATACTTTATTTAAAAAATTGAGTTTTTCATTCAAGTATTTAATTTAAAAAAATAACAAAAAAATAAGATATTTTTACTTAAAAATACAAATTGAAACAAATAATAAACCATTTTTACTTTAATAAAATAGACTTTAATAATTTTTTTATAAATTTAGTTAGGAAATGAATGGGTGTCATTATTTTAGTTTTATGATACAGAAGCATCTAGGTTTATAAGAGCAACTTTAATATTTTTAAAATACTAAGCATTTTTCTTATCTACTGAATTTGTATATGAGGTAAATTTATCTATTTGTTTAAAAACAATATTTAACTAATAATATAAATAAATAGAACTTACAATTTATGATAATTTTTGCATTATTGTTCGGTTTAGTAGTTAAACAAACTTTTAAGATTATTCAATAAGTATTGGTTAGACGATCTTTTAAATTTATATCGACCATTGTATTTTTTTTCATAGCAATCTTAGGTATACATATGTATTTTTGGTTTTTACCTCAGCTTGAGTCTTTAAAACTTTTGAAGGATAAAACATGGAGTATTTATTATGGATCACTTTTTCTAGTTGATTTCTTCATATTTTAATAATTATTAAGCTTTTTTGAGTACATTTTTACTATTAAATACCTAAATGCCTTACATAATTAAAGTAGTAGTGCTAAAATATACAAATTTTTAGCTAACTAATATTTTGTATAAAAAATAAGGTGATTATATATTTTTACATATATGTATTTATTTTAAACTAGAAATGGATATATTTAACAAAGAATTAATTATTTTATTTTTTTATTATGTACTCTTAAGTAATTTAAACTGCATGTGCATGCGCAGTAAATAATATACTTGCATGAAAATTGTTAGTTTAGTAAAAAAGGTTTAGAGCTTTAATTATTTGAGCAAATTTTAAGTATTAAAATAGATATTATAATTAATAAAAAAACAATTATTAAATGAGCTCAGGATATTAAACCAAAAAGTATTTTGTTTCAAAATTTTATCATTTTAATATATTTATGAAGGGGTTATAATAAATATATGTATTAGACAGATTTAATTTAATAATAATTAGAATGAAAAAAAGCTAATATTATGAAGGATAACCTTTTTTTTCATACAGCAACACTAGTTTGATTTTAATGATAAAAATTTTGATTGATTATTTTAATTAAATTCAACTTACTCTTTATTTTTAGAAAAAAATGAAAACAAATAATTTAATTAATTTCAATTTAATTAACAAAAAGAAATTGTGGTAAAAAACTAAATATTTTTTTTTCTTCTTTAAAATATTGAGTTATTTTATAATAATTTTATAAAATTTAAGTAACTAATATATTTATTAAATCTATATTTGTTAAAGAAAGTTTAAAATCTTAATTACTACTATTTATTATTGTTCATTTATTTACTTTTATATAAATTAGCAGAAAAAAATATGCTTTTTTTAAAAAATTGCTTACACATTTTTTAATTTAAAGACGCACAGAAAAAGAAAAATATCTTTTATAAAAAGATTACACTTCAATTATTTATCATTTTCCATAAATTAATTTAATTAAAATTGAAAACAAATTATTTTTTACAGTGTACTTGATTATTCAAAATTAAGTAATCTCTATTTATTTCAGAAATGATCTCAAAAAAAAAAAATCAAAGTTATTTTTAGGAATAATTAATTGGATAGGGTTTGTAGTAAAAAAGAAATACATGAACTAATTAATAAACACTTATTTTTATTTTAAAATCAAAAAGTATTTAGAATTATAATAATATTTATTAGTAAATAATTTGTCATTTCTAAAACACTATGAAAAATATTTAAATATTTTGGATAATACTATTAATCAATACAGCTATTGGCGGTAAATACTTAAATTTTTTTTTTAAATTTATAATCTATTATTTATTAATGCAAAATTAAGCTGAAAAATTGGTATTTTCAGATTTGAATTCAGTCTTTACAAGTAGCAATTGTGGATGGAATTTAGCTACAGTAACACAATGTGGAGCAACTGATTTAACAGAGTTTTCAAATTAAAGTGCTATGGGGTTTTTCGGTTTAGGCGCTACTACTTCTTCAAAAGTGTACACAGGTATACCGCCTCATTGGAGTCTTTCTGTCAGATTTGACCTAATACTTTACTTAACTTTAGATCCCAATGATTTAATCTTAGTATAAATTGACTAAAATAGTTAAAATAATGATGGCTATACTAAAGATGCTTTTTATAATGGGTATAAAACTTGTATTCCTTCAAATTAGTTTGGTGACGAATTAGTACTTTACTATAGAAACATAACACACACAGATTCAAATTTAAAAATTGTTATCTAATCTATTACAGATTAATCTATATCAGATGAAGGTTTTGGATTTAGAAATTTTTATATCTACGTTGATACTTGTCATGATTCCTGCTTAACTTGCAATGGACCTACTGCAACTCAGTGTTTAACTTGCCCACCCAATTCTACTTAAAATGGAAATACCTGTACATGTATTTCTGGATATTATGCTCAGAATAATTCTTGCATATAAACTTGTTAACCAGGTTTTATTTAAGATTCTACTGGAAAACTTTGTGTTTAGGATTTTTGCTACGCTATTCAATGCCAATCTTGCTAAAATGGTTTATGCACTTAATGTTAGCCTGGATTTTATTTATTAAATGGGTAGTGTCTAGCTAATTGTCCTTCTTTCTCTACATAAACTGGACAATAGTGTGTTGATTTGATAACTTAAATAAATAGTAAACTTAATTTTATACATTTTTTACAAATAAAGAAGTAAATTTTTAATTGACTATATAGATGGAAGTTATTTATTGAAGAGTATGTTTAATACATATTTTAGTGAGAGTGAAATTGTAGGATCTGGCTTAACTACTTTTGGATTTTTAGGATTTATTAACACCTCTAGCAGAGCACTAACAACTGTATGTAATGGGTACAGTTTACTAGGTGGTGCCTATCTAAGTTCTCAAAATTCTTACATATAAAGAAAATTTACAGGATTGTAAATTATTAATTTAGTCATTTATTTTTAAAATAAAAATTGTATTAATAAATATTAGGTAACCTCATTGGTAAGTGATTATTGGATACACTTTGTATAAAATAGATTCATGGAATAATGAAAATGTGCAATTAATTGTAGATGAAAATGTAATAGTTACTACATAAAGAAACATAAACGATGGAGTAGCAAATATATGTGGAAGAGTATCTATCAACGATTAAATTATCAAAATTTAATAAACATTTACTCATGCTAGTTCTTCTCTTAGCTTATTAATAAAAAGTAATTTAAATAGTGATCCATTTACAGAATCTTATGGAATTAGAGAGCTCTATGTATTAGTTGATTATGTAAATTAAATTTAAGTTTTACATTTATTTAATTATTAATATTTTTAATAAAAGTGTTCTCCTAATTGTATAACTTGTAATGCTTAAGGTTGTATTAAATGCTAAAGTAACTATTATCTTTATAATTTTAAATGTAATACCGTTTGTCCAAGTGGTTATGCCCCCGATTCAAATTAAGTTTGTCAACTTTGTGATCTCTCATGTTAAACTTGTTCAAAACCCTGTAAATTTATTTCTTTTTTAAAATTAAATTATAAACTATCATTTTAAACTTAAAATTTTTTAATAATTAATTCAAATAGAGGACAATACATCTTGTTTGAGTTGTAACCCTAATCATTATCTCAATCCAAATAAAACTTGTTAAAATACATGTCCTTCTTCATATTGGAAAAACAACTCAAATTGGTAATGCTCAGCTTGCGATTCTACATGTTTTAACTGCTAAAGTCCAGGTATATTAAAACAAAATAAAAAAGGAAAAAATATAATTTAAAATATTATGTTTGTTTTATTTTTTCTTTTTTTATAGAAATAGAATATTAAAAATTTTAATATTATTAAAAGGTGATTCAAATTCATGTACAAGCTGCAGTGGCTACCGTTTTTTAACATCAAATAAGTGCTTAATAAATTGCCCTTCTAACACATTTCCAAATATATGTAAATAAAATTTTTTTTTCTTTTTTATTAAATTTTTTATTAAAAGAAACGAATAACAATATTTGTTAACCATGTGATTCATCTTGCAAAACCTGTGACGGACCTAATAGTAACAACTGTTTAAGTTGTAATGCTCCATAATTTTTTTTGCAAAGCACTAAAACTTGTGTATTATCATGCAATCCAAATTAGTATAAAAACATTAGCAATCAAACATGTTCCTCTTGTGATTATTCATGCAGTACATGCTCAGGTCCCAGTTACACTAACTGTCTCTCCTGTTCAGGAAATACATTTTTATATCAAAATTAATGTATTGCAAATTGTCCTGTAAAATATTTTAATAATGCATCTAACAACTAGTGCACAGCCTGTGATTATACCTGTTAATAATGCAATGGTACTGCTCCTAATAATTGTCTTTCTTGCCAATTACCAAGATATTTTGATCCAACATCAAATTCATGCCTAATGACTTGCAATTCAAACCAATACCATGATTTAAACTCTAACTTATGCAAGTAATGTGACTCTTTATGTTTAACTTGTAACGGACCATTAATATCAAACTGCACAAGCTGCAGATAAGGTAAATTAATAAAAATTAATTATTTCATCACAGATTATCCTAATTTTTAAATGCGCTAATATTTTGATCTATAAAAAGGGTTGTTTTTACAAAATAATATATGTAAGCCAATATGTGATGGTTCTTATTATGGTGAAACTCTCACTAATACATGCAATCCATGTGATTCAACCTGTCTAACTTGTGATGGACCTAACAGTAATAACTGCTTGAGCTGCTAAGCTCCAAATTTATTTTATCAATAAGGTTCGAAAACTTGTGTTACACAATGTAATTCGAATTAATTTAAAAATACTGCAAATTAAACATGCTCTCTTTGTGACTCATCGTGCAGTACTTGTTAAGGGCCTAGCTACACTAACTGTCTATCTTGCACAGGAAATACTTATTTATATTAAAATTAATGCATCTTAAATTGCCCTTCAAACTATTATGGAAATAATTAAAATAAATAATGTACTTAATGTGATCCTACATGCTATTTATGCAATGGTGGTGCTAACAACAATTGTCTTTCTTGTCAAAATGGCAGATATTTAGATTAAACATTAAAATAATGTGTTTTAAATTGTAATTCTAATTAATATGTTGATGCCAACTCTGGTTAGTGTATGTAATGCCACTCTTCTTGCTAAACATGTAATGGTCCATTAATATCTAACTGTAAAAGCTGTAAATCAGGTATAAAAAATAATTACAGTAGTTTCTATATAATTAACACTAATCTACCCCCTAAACTTTTACCATTTTGGTTTGTTATTAAATTATAATTATTGAGAAATTGGTGTTAGTATTTTAATACTTTAATTACTGAGGAAATATAGTATTAATTTAATTAAATAAATTATTTAATTTTTATTAAAAGGACTATTTCTACAAGATAGCTAATGTAAACCAATATGTGATGGTTCTTATTTTGGAGATGTTATGACAAATACTTGTTAACCATGTTTTAATTCTTGCAAAACTTGTGATGGACCTAACAATAATAATTGTTTAAGTTGTTTAGCTCCTAGCTTATTTTTCTAACAAAGTTCTAAGACTTGTGTATCAACATGTGAAATAAATTAATTTAAAAATACAAACAATCAATCTTGCTCTTCTTGCCATTCAACATGTAGCACATGTTCAGGCCCTAACGACATTAACTGTTTATCTTGCTAAGCAAATTCCTTTTTATATCAAAATTAATGTTTATCTAGTTGTCCAATAAAATATTATGGTAATACTTAAAATAATTAGTGCTCTCCATGCGATCCTACATGCTAAACATGTAATGGTAGTGGTTCCAATAACTGTTTATCTTGCTAATTATAGAGATATTTTGATCCGAAAACAAATTAATGTGTTCAAATATGTGATTCAAACTAATACCCAGATATAAATTCAGATTCATGTAAATAATGTGATAGTTCATGTTTAACATGCTCTGGACCTTCCTCTTCAGATTGTGCAAGTTGTGAATAAGGTAAGTAATATATTAAAATTAAAAAAATTATTATTATATATTATTTTTAAAAAGGTACATTTTTGCAAAATGGTTAATGCATTTAAACTTGCGATGATTCTTATTATATGATTCCACAAAGTAATATTTGTTAAAAATGTGACTTAAACTGTAAAACATGTACTGGAACTTCTTAATTTGAAGTAAATTTATTGATATTTTTAATAAAATTAATATTATTTTTATAAAGTGTCTCTCATGCAGTCCTAGTTTATTTTTTTTGAAAAATGCTTGCCTTACAGACTGTCCTGAAAACTATTATCCTGATTTGTAACAGTAAGAATGCTTTGAATGTCATCAAATTTGTAAACAAGGATGTAGTGGTCCGCTTTAAGAAGATTGCTTTTCAATTAAATATTAATATTAAATTATATTGTATATTTTGGCTTGTAAAAGCTTTATTTGGATAGTTTCTACTATAATTGGATATCTTTAAGATAAATAATAATCTTAAATATTTATCAAAATAGTAGATTAACCTCATACAGTAGATAGTGACAGTCCTTCTAAAAAAAGTTAATAGAAGGATAATGATTAAACTTATTTTGATAGATATATAAACTAGTAAAGTCCAAAAAAAATAAACATAGAACAAAGTTTTAATTTTTAATAATAATAACAACAACTTGATTAAACATAAATTTAGTAATTGTAAACAAACTAAAATTTGGATAACAAAATTATAAAAACTAAGAGAAGACCTAGAAAAATTATACACAAAAATATATTTTATGAGAGAACTTAAACATTTAAGGATATCTGTGAAGCTAATTTTAGCTAAGGAACTCCAAATTTAGTAAAAAGCATAAGTAAGATGTCTAGTACAAATTTTAATCTAATTTCTTCATCTCTTGCTAAAGATGAAAAAGATTTAGATAAATAAGAAGAAACTATTCAATAGCCTTTAGAAAAGTATATAGCTGACTAAAAACTTAAATTCACAATTGTAAATTTATTTTTTAATTTAAAAAGATAGGGTTATAATTTAAAATTTTGCATTTTATATAATCAAAATCAAATCTATTAAATAATCCTAAAAAAACTATACATTTAAAACAATACTAATACCCTCCCTATAAATGATATTAATAATTATTATAATTAAATATTAGTTAGGAAATGAGTGGATATCATTATTTTACTTCTACAGTTCAATAGATACAAGAGTTTCAAGAAGTTGTTTAATTTTTTTAAAATACTAAGCATTTTTCTTAACTACAGAGTTTATTTATGAGGTAAAAATAATTCTATTTTTTATATAAATATTTTTAAACAATTTATTTATTTAATTAAAGAATTAGTACTCTTACCTTTTATTAAGTATCGCTTTAATGATAAGTTTGACCTTTTAATATATTTTTAAGATTTTTCAACAAGCTCTATTGAGAAAGCATTTCAAATTCATATTTTTAGTTATATTTTTATTTGCTTCAATTTTGACTATTCATGCCTATTTCTGGTTTTTGCCTTAGCTTGAATCTTTAAAGTTTAAGAAAGACTAAAATTGGAGTCTTTTTTATGGGTCTATCTTTGCAATAGATATTCTTATACTTTAGCAATTATTTAGCTTAGCTTAGTACATTTTTACTATAAAATACTTGAATGCTAAAGAAACAAAAAATAAATTTGTAAATATTTACAAATTTTTAATGAATGAACTATATTTATAAAAAATAAAATGAAGAACTAGCTATTAATATTTTCTATTATTTATATGATTTATATTTCTATATAAATATTTAGATTAATGAATAATGTTTTACCTTAGTAATTTATAAAATATATTTCTTATAAAGAGAATTTCTTTTTAAATTTATTCAATAAATATTTCCTTTACTTTAAATTTTTAAATATTTAAAAAAAAATAATTATTTTTATATATTTTAAAATTTGAGATAAAAGAGCACTTCAAATCATTCAAATTTCACCATTCTTTCATTAAACAATTTTAAAGTTTCTACAAATTAAAGTTATTAATTATTTTAAATTTAGAGTGTTCACATAAAATGTATATTTCATTAATTTTATTTTATAATTCTTGTTTTAATAAATTTACATCTAAATTATTAACAACTTCTAAGGATATTAATTTAATCCAAAATCAAACAATAAATAATTTTAAAAAAAGAGATAAAATATGTAAATTAATTAAAACATTTAAAAAATAAAAAATAGATTCTCAAATCAAGAATTATTCGCTTGGCATTTTTCTACATAGCAATTTGCCTAATAATAATTAGTTTATTTGATCTAACATTTTGATTGAATTCAACTTACTCTTTCTTTTTAGAAAAAATACATACATTTTAATTAATTTCAATTTAGCAAACACAAATTGTGGTAATTAATAATAATAAAAAAATAAACGTGAAATATTTTTTTTGATTAAATTCAACTTACTCATTCCTTTTAGAAAAAAATGAAAACAAAAATTTTAATTAACCTCAATTTAACAAAAAGAAATTGTGGTAAAAAACTAAATATTTTATTTTTTTTTCTTTAAATTTAAAGAATAATGAATTACTTTTAATTTTATAAAGTAAATGTAATATCTATAAATTGATTTTATATTAAAGAATGTTTAAAATCTTTATTATTACTTTTTATAATTATTCACTTATTTTATATAAACTTGTTTATAGTATAAAAAATCTTCTTAAATATGAACCAGTAGAAAAAAACTCTTACTCATTTTTTAATTTAATGATGCTTTAAAAAGAAATATACCCTTTATTATAAGATTACATTTAAATTATTTGATAATTTGTAAATTAATTTAATTAAAATTGAAAACAATGTATTTATTTAAAGTGTACATTACTATTCAGAACTGAGTAATCAAAATTTATTTCACAAAGGTATTTCAAAAGCAAATAAAAGACATTTTTAAGAATACTTAAGTGGATATGCTTAAAAGTAAAAAAAGCAATATATAAACAAATTAACAAATACATATTTTATTTTAAAATCAAAAAGTATTTAGAATTATAATAATATTAATTAGTAAATAATTTGTCATTTCTAAAACACTATGAAAAATATTTAAATATTTTGTATAATACTCATAATCAAAACAGCTATTGGTGGTAAAGATTTAAATATTTTTTAAAATTCTATTATCTATTATTTTTAAATGCAAAATTAAGCTGAAAAATTGGTATTTTCAGATTTGAATTCAGTCTTTACAAGTAGCAATTGTGGATGGAATTTAGCTACAGTAACACAATGTGGAGCAACTGATTTAACAGAGTTTTCAAATTAAAGTGTAATGGGATTTTTCGGTTTAGGCGCAACTACTTCTACAAAAATATACACAGGTATTCCACCTCATTGGAGTCTTTCTGTCAGATTTGATCTAATACTTTACGAAACTTTAGATCTCAATGATTCAATCTAAGTATAAATTAACTAAAATTGTGATACTTATACTAGAGATGTTTGTTGTAGTAATGGGTATAAAACTTGTCTTCCTTCAAATTTATTTGATGATAAGTTAGTGCTTTACTATAGAAACATAACACATACAGATTCCAATTTAAATATTACTATATACTCAAAAACAGATACAGATATTTCAGATGAAGGTTATGGATTTAGAAATTTTTATATCTATGTTGATACTTGTCATGATTCCTGCTTAACTTGCAATGGACCTACTGCAACTCAGTGTTTAACTTGCCCACCCAATTCTACTTAAAATGGAAATACCTGTACATGTATTTCCGGATATTATGCTCAGAATAATTCTTGCATATAAACTTGTTAACCAGGTTTTATTTAAGATTCTACTGGAAAACTTTGTGTTTAAGATTTTTGCTACGCTATTCAATGCCAATCTTGCTAAAATGGTTTATGCACTTAATGTAAGCCTGGATTTTCTTTGTTAAATGGGTAGTGTCTTGCTAATTGCCCTTCATTCTCTACATAAAATGGACAATAGTGTGTTGACTTTATATCATAAACAAATAGTAAATTTAATTTTATACTTAAATAATTATAGGAGTAAATTTTTATTGACTTTATAGATGGAAATTATTTATTGAAGAGTATGTTTAATACATATTTTGGTGAGAGTGAAATTGTAGGATCTGGTTTGAGCACTTTTGGATTTTAAGGATTTATTAACACCTCCAGCAGAGCTCTAACAACTGTATGTAATGGGTACAGTTTACTAGGTGGTGCTTATCTAAGTTCTCAAAATTCTTACATTTAAAGAAAATTTACAGGATTGTAAATTATTAATTTAGTCATTTATTTTTAAAATAAAAATTGTAATAATTTTTATTAGGCAACCTCATTGGAAAGTGATTATTGGATACACTTTGTATAAAATAGATTCATGGAATAATGAAAATGTGCAATTAATTGTAGATGAAAATGTAATATTTACTACATAAAGAAACATAAACGATGGAGTAGGAAATATTTGTGGAAGAGTATCTATCAAAGATGAAATTATCAAAATTTAATAATCATTTCCTCATACAAGTTCATCTCTTAGTTTATTAATAAAAAGTAATTTAAAAAGTGATCCATTTACAGAATCTTATGGAATTAGAGAGCTCTATGTATTAGTTGATTATGTAAATTAAATTTAAGCTTTTATAAATATTTAATTATTAATAATTTTAATAAAAGTGCTATTCTAATTGTATAACTTGTAATGCTTAAGGCTGTAATTAATGCTAAGCTAACTATTATTTATATAATTTTACATGTTAAACCACTTGCCCAAATGGTTATGCCTCAGATTAAAATTTAATTTGTCAACCATGTGATCCTTCTTGCTAAACTTGTTCAAAACCTTGTAAATTTTTTAAAAAAAAAACAAAAGTTAATTTTATGACAGAAAAATATATTTAAATACAAAATTAAGTCATTAAATGATATTTATCAATTTAAAGGTTTTATTTATTTTAAATTCTAACTATTTTAATATTTAAAAAGAGGATAGTACATCTTGTTTGAGTTGTAACCCTAATACTTATCTCAATCCAAATAAAACTTGTTAAAATACATGTCCTACTTCATATTGGACTAACAGCTCAAATTGGTAATGCTCAGCTTGCGATTCTACATGTTTTACTTGCTAAATTCCAGGTATTTATCATAACAATAGAAAAAAGGGAAAAAAAAAAATAATTTAAAATATTATTTTTACTTTTTATTTTTCTTATAAAAATAGAATATTAAAAATTTTTTTATTATCATAAATAAGGTGATTCAAATTCATGTACAAGCTGCAGTGGATACCTATTTTTGTCATCAAATAAGTGCATAATAAATTGCCCTTATAACACATTTCCATTAAATTGTAAATAAAAATTTTTTTACTTTTTTATAAAATTTTTTATTAAAAAGAAATGAATAACAATATTTGTTAACCATGTAATCCATCTTGCGGATCATGTGACGGGCCTAACGCTAACAACTGTTTAAGCTGTTAAACTCCAACATTTTATTAACAAAGCACTAAAACTTGTGCACCTTAATGCTCTGCAATTTAGTATTAAAATACTAGCAGCCAAGTATGCTCTTTTTGCGATTATTCATGCAGTACGTGTTCAGGTCCCAGCTACACTAACTGTCTCTCCTGCTCTGGAAATACATTTTTATATCAAAACTAATGTATTGCGAATTGTCCTGTAAAATATTTTAATAATGTCTCTAACAACTAGTGCACAGCATGTGATTAAACGTGTTATTAATGCAATGGTCCTGCTCCTAATAATTGTCTTTCTTGCCAATTACCTAGATATTTTGATCCAACATCAAATACATGCCTATAGACTTGCAATTCAAACCAATACCCTGATTTAAACTCTAACTCATGCAAATAATGTGACCTATCTTGTTTAACATGTAACGGATCATCAAAATCTAACTGCACAAGCTGTAGATAAGGTAATTTAATAATTTTATAACAAAATATCTTAGATGTTAAAATGCTAATAATTTTATCTATAAAAAGGGTTATTTTTACAAAATAACATATGTAAGCAAAAATGTGATGGTTCTTATTATGGTGAAGCTCTCACTAATACATGCAATTCATGTGATTCAACCTGTCTAACTTGTGATGGACCTAACAAATAAAACTGCTTGAGCTGCTAAGCTCCAAATTTTTATCAATAAGGTTCAAAAACTTGTGTTACTCAATGTAATTCGAATTAATTTAAAAATACTGCTAATTAAACATGCTCTCTTTGTGACTCATCATGCAATACTTGTTCAGGGCCTAGTAACATAAACTGCCTATCTTGCACAGGAAATACATATTTATATTAAAATTAATGTATCTTAAATTGCCCTTCAAACTATTATGGAAATAATTAAAATAAATAATGTACTCAATGTGATCCTACATGCTATTTATGCAATGGTGGTGCTAACAACAATTGTCTTTCTTGTCAAAATGGCAGATATTTAGATTAAACATTAAAATAATGTGTTTTAAATTGTAATTCTAATTAATTTAGTGATGTATACTCTGGTTAATGCTGGCAATGTCACTCTTCTTGCTAAACATGTAATGGTCCATTAATTTCTAACTGTAAAAGCTGTACATCAGGTATAAAAATAATACTATTATTTTATATACAATTAACACTGAGCTATCCCTAAAAATTATGCCATTTTAAGTAGTATAAATTAAAGCTTTTTGTAATCTTATTAAAATATTATTATAACTTTTTTAAGCTTAAACAGTGTTCGAAATATTTTTTTTGTCATATTTTTAAAGGTACTAAATCAAAAAATGTATAATTATTAAGAAATTAGTATTAATATCTCGGTGTCTTAATTATTGAAGTTAAAGATAATTTATTTATTTATTAAATATTTTATTTATAGGACTATTTTTATAAGATAACTAATGTAAGCCAACATGTGATGGTTCCTATTTTGGAGATGTTATAACAAATACTTGTTAACCGTGTTTTAATTCTTGCAAAACTTGTGATGGACCTAACAATAATAATTGTTTAAGTTGTTTAGCTCCTAGCTTATTTTTCTAACAAAGTTCTAAGACTTGTGTATCAACATGTGAAATAAATTAATTTAAAAATACAAACAATCAATCATGCTCTTCTTGCCATTCAAAATGTAGCACATGTTCAGGTCCTAATGACATCAATTGTTTATCTTGCTAAACAAGCTTCTTTTTATATCAAAATTAATGTTTATCTAATTGTCCAATAAACTATTATGGTAATTCTTAAAATAATTAATGTGCTCCATGCGATCCTACATGCTATACTTGCAGTGGCAGTGCTTCCAATAATTGTTTATCTTGCTAATAAAAGAGATATTTTGACCCAACAACTAATTAGTGCGTTCTAGAATGTAATTCAAACTATTACCCTGATATAAATTCAAATTCTTGCAAATAATGCAATACTTCATGTAAAACATGCTTTGGACCTTCTTCTTAAAATTGTAAAAGTTGTATTTAAGGTATAATTTTTTTTTTTTAATTTAAAAAAATAATAATATAAGATATTATTTTGGAAAAGGTACATTTTTGCAAAATGGTTAATGCGTTTAAACTTGCGATAATTCTTATTATAATAATCCATAAAGTAATGTTTGCTAAAAATGTGATTCGGCCTGTAAAACTTGTTCTGGATCTTCCAAACTTGAAGTAAATTTTTTGATGCTTTCAATAAAATTAATGTTTTTTTTAAAAAGTGTCTCTCATGCAATCCTAATTTATTTTTGTTGAAAAACTCTTGCTATACAGATTGTCCGATAAATTATTATACTGACTAGTAACAGGATGAATGCTTGGAATGCCATATAATTTGTAAACAAGGGTGTAGTGGTCCATTTTAAGAAGATTGCTTTACTATTAAATATCAATATTAAATAATATTATATATTTTAGCTTTTAAAAGCCTTATTTGGATAGTTTCTACAATACTTGGTTATCTTTAAGATAAAAAATAATCTTAAATATTTATTAAAATAGCAAATTACCCTCAAACAGTAGATAGTGATAGTCCTCCTAAAAAAAATTAATAAAAAGATGGTGATTAAAATTCTTTTGACAAATATATAAATTAGTAAAGTCCAAATAAAATGTAAGTAGAATAAAGCTTTAACTGTTAATAGTAATAATAACAACAACATGATTAAACATAAATTTAGTAGTTGTAGACAAACTAAAATTTGGATAACAAAATTATAAAATCTAATAGAAGACCTAGAAAAATAAAACAAAAAAATATATTTTATGAGAGAACTTAAACATTTAAGGATTATCCTGAAGTGAATTTTGACTAAGCTACTCCAACACTATTAAAAAGTTTAAGTAAGATGGCTAGCACAAACTGTAATCAAGCTTCTTCATCTCCCGAAAAAGACGAACAAGATTTAGATAAATAAATTGTAACTATTCAATAGTCGTAAGGAAAGTATAGAGCTGACTAAAAACTTAAATTCACATTTGTAAATTTATTTTTTTTTTAAATAGATAGGGTTATAATTTAAAAATTTTACTTTTTATAAAATGAAAATCTCATTTAATCCTATAAAAATTTTACATTTTGAAAAAAATTGAAAAACATCCCTCCCTATAAACGATAGTAATAATAAAAATAATTAAATATTAGTTAGGAAATGAATGGATATCATTATTTTATTTCTACAGTTTGTTAGACACAAGAATATTAAGAAGTTTCTTAATATTTTTAAAATACCAAGTATTTTTCTTAACTACAGAACTAATATATGAAGTAAAAAATAATTTATTTTTTTTATAAATATTTTTAAATAATTTCTTTAATTAAAGTATTAGTACTCTTACCTTTTATTAGGTATTGCTTTAATCATTAGTTTGACACTTTAATATATTTTTAAGATTTTGTAACAAACTTTAGTTAGAAAACATTTCAAATTAATATTGTTAGTTATATTTTTATTTGTAGCTATTTTAACTGTTCATGCTTATTTCTGGTTTGTTCCTAAACTTGAATCTTTATAGTATAAGAAGGATTAAAAATGGAGTCTTTATTATGTGTATATCTTTGCAATAGATATTCTTATTCTTTAGCAATTATTTAGCTTAGCTTAGTACATATTTACTATAAAATACTTGAATGCTAAAGAAACTAAAAATAAATTTACAAATATTTATAAATTTTTAATGAATGAATTTTATTTATAAATAATAAAATGAAGAACTAACTATTAATATTCTCTATTATCTATATAATTTATCATTCTATATAGTATTTAGATTATAGAAGATCATTTTATAAAAATTATTTATAAATATTTCAATTAGATAAATTTAAAGTTTAAATAAATTATAGTTAGTTATTAATTATTTAAAATTTAGAGTATTTACATAACATATATATTTCATTAATTTTATTTTATATTTCTTGTTTTTAACATATTAATTATTAATAAATTCTAAGTGATATTAATTTAATCCAAAATCAAACAATAATAATTTTAAAAAAAGAGATAAAATATGTTAATTAATTAAAACATTTAAAAAATAAAAAATAGATTCTCAAATCAAGAATTACTCGCTTTGTTTTTTTTACATAGCAATTTGCCTAATAATAATTAGTTTATTTGATCTAACATTTTGATTGAATTCAGCTTACTCTTTCTTTTTAGAAAAAATACATACATTTTAATTAATTTCAATCTAACAAACACAAATTGTGGTAATTAATCATTATAAAAAAATAAATGTAATATATATTTTTTGATTAAATTAATCATTTCTTTTAGAAAAAAAATGAACTGAAAATTTTAATTAACCTCAATTTAACAAAAAGAAATTGTGGTAAAAAACTAAATATTTTTTTTTAATTTTGTTTAAAGAAAAATGAATTACTTTTAATTTTATAAAGTAAATATAATAACTATAAATTAATTTTATAATAAAGAATGTTTAAAATCTTTATTATTACTTTTTATTATTATTCATTTATTTTAAAAAATTTATTTATAATATAAAAAATCTTCTTAAATATGAGACAGTAGAAAAAAATGGGCTTACACATTTTTTAATTTAATGATGCTTTAAAAAGAAATATACCCTTTATTATAAGATAGCATTTCAACTATTTGTTAATTTATAAATTTATTATTTTAAATTGAAAAGAAAGTATTTATTTAAAGTGTGCTTGACTATTCAAAACTGAGTAATCAAAATTTATTTCACAAAGGTATTTCAAAAGCAAATAAAAGACATTTTTAAGAATACTTAAGTGGATATGCTTAATAGTAAAAAAAGCAATATATAAACAAATTAACAAATACATATTTTATTTTAAAATCAAAAAGTATTTAGAATTATAATAATATTAATTAGTAAATAATTTGTCATTTCTAAAACACTATGAAAAATATTTAAATATTTTGTATAATACTCATAATCAAAACAGCTATTGGTGGTAAAGATTTAAATATTTTTTAAAAATTCTATTATCTATTATTTTTAAATGCAAAATTAAGCTGAAAAATTGGTATTTTCAGATTTGAATTCAGTCTTTACAAGTAGTGATTGTGGATGGAATTTAGCTACAGTAACTCAATGCCAAGCAACTGATTTAACAGAGTTTTCAAATTAAAGTGTAATGGGATTTTTCGGTTTAGGCGCAACTACTTCTACGAAAATATACACAGGTATTCCACCTCATTGGAGTCTTTCTGTCAGATTTGATCTAATACTTTACGAAACTTTAGATCGCGATGACTAAATCTTAGTATAAATTAACTAAAATTGTGATACTTATACTAGAGATGTTTGTTGTAGTAATGGGTATAAAACTTGTCTTCCTTTAAATAAATTTGATGATAAGTTAGTGCTTTACTATAGAAACATAACACATACAGATTCCAATTTAAATATTACTATATACTCAAAAACAGATACAGATATTTCAGATGAAGGTTTTGGATTTAGAAATTTTTATATCTATGTTGACTCTTGTCATGATTCATGCTTAACTTGCAATGGACCTACTGCAACTCAGTGTTTAACTTGCCCACCCAATTCTACTTAAAATGGAAATACCTGTACATGTATTTCTGGATATTATGCTCAGAATAATTCTTGCATATAAACTTGTTAACCAGGTTTTATTTAAGATTCTACTGGAAAACTTTGTGTTTAAGATTTTTGCTATACTGCTCAATGCCAATCGTGTTAAAATGGTTTATGCACTTAATGTTAGCCTGGATTTTCTTTGTTAAATGGGTAGTGTCTAGCTAATTGCCCTTCATTCTCTACATAAAATGGATAATAGTGTGTTGACTTGATATCATAAACAAATAGTAAATTTAATTTTATACTTAAATAATTATAGGAGTAAATTTTTAATTGATTTTATAGATGGAAGTTATTTATTGAAGAGTATGTTTAATACATATTTTGGTGAGAGTGAAATTGTAGGATCTGGTTTGAGCACTTTTGGATTTTAAGGATTTATTAACACCTCCAGCAGAGCTCTAACAACTGTATGTAATGGGTACAGTTTACTAGGTGGTGCTTATCTAAGTTCTCAAAATTCTTACATATAAAGAAAATTTACAGGATTGTAAATTATTAATTTAGTCATTTATTTTTAAAATAAAAATTGTAATAATATTTATTAGGCAACCTCATTGGTAAGTGATTATAGGGTATACTTTGTATAAAATAGATTCATGGGATAATGAAAATGTGCAATTGATTGTAGATGAAAATGTAATATTTACTACATAAAGAAGCATAAACGATGGAGGAGCAAATATATGTGGAAGAGTTTCTTTCAACGATGAAATTATCAATATTTAATAAGCAGTTCCTCATACGAGTTCTTCTCTTAGCTTATTAATAAAAAGTAATTTAAATAGTGATCCATTTACCGAATCTTATGGAATTAGAGAGCTCTATGTATTAGTTGACTATGTAAATTAAATTTAAGCTTTTATATTTATTTAATTATTAATAATTTTAATAAAAGTGCTATTCTAATTGTATAACTTGTAATGCTTAAGGCTGTAATTAATGCTCAGCTAACTATTATTTATATAATTTTACATGTTAAACCACTTGCCCAAATGGTTATGCCTCAGATTAAAATTTAATTTGTCAACCATGTGATCCTTCTTGCTAAACTTGTTCAAAACCTTGTAAATTTTATTTTAAAAAAAACAAAAGTTAATTTTGTGACAGAAAAATATATTTAAATACAAAATTAAGTCATTAAATGATATTTATCAATTAAAAGGTTTTATTTATTTTAAATTCTAACTATTTTAATATTTAAAAAGAGGATAGTACATCTTGTTTGAGTTGTAACCCTAATACTTATCTCAATCCAAATAAAACTTGTTAAAATACATGCCCTACTTCATATTGGACTAACAGCTCAAATTGGTAATGCTCAGCTTGCGATTCTACATGTTTTACTTGCTAAATTCCAGGTATTTATCATAACAATAGAAAAAAGGGAAAAAAAAAAAAAATTTAAAATATCATTTTTACTTTTTATTTTTCTTATAAAAATAGAATATTAAAAATTTTTTTATTATCATAAATAAGGTGATTCAAATTCATGTACAAGCTGCAGTGGATACCTATTTTTGTCATCAAATAAGTGCATAATAAATTGCCCTTCTAACACATTTCCATTAAATTGTAAATAAAAATTTTTTTACTTTTTTATAAAATTTTTTATTAAAAAGAAATGAATAACAATATTTGTTAACCATGTAATCCATCTTGCGGATCATGTGATGGGCCTAACACTAACAACTGTTTAAGCTGTTAAACTCCAAAATTTTATAAACAAAGCACTAAAATTTGTGCACTTTAATGCTATGCAATTTAGTATTAAAATACTAGCAGCCAAGTATGCTCTTTTTGCGATTATTCATGCAGTACCTGTTCAGGTCCCAGCTATACTAACTGTCTCTCCTGCTTTGGAAATACATTTTTATATCAAAACTAATGTATTGCAAATTGCCCTGTAAAATATTTTAATAATGTATCTAACAATTAGTGCACAGCATGTGATTAAACGTGTTATTAATGCTATGGTCCTGCTCCTAATAATTGTCTTTCTTGCCAATTACCTAGATATTTTGATCCAACATCAAATACATGCCTATAGACTTGCAATTCAAACCAATACCCTGATTTAAACTCTAATTCATGCAAATAATGTGACCCATCTTGCTTAACATGTAACGGACCATCAAAATCTAACTGCACTAGCTGTATATAAGGTAATTTAATAATTTTATAACAAAATATCTTAGATGTTAAAATCTTAAGAATTTTATCTTTAAAAAGGGTTATTTTTACAAAATAACATATGTAAGCCAATATGTGATGGTTCTTATTATGGTGAAATTCTCACTAATACATGCAATTCATGTGATTCAACCTGTCTAACTTGTGATGGACCTAACAAATAAAACTGCTTGAGCTGCTAAGCTCCAAATTTTTATCAATAAGGTTCAAAAACTTGTGTTACTCAATGTAATTCGAATTAATTTAAAAATACTGCTAATTAAACATGCTCTCTTTGTGACTCATCATGCAATACTTGTTCAGGGCCTAGTAACATAAACTGCCAATCTTGCACAGGAAATACCTATTTATATTAAAATTAATGTATCTTAAATTGTCCTTCAAACTATTATGGAAATAATTAAAATAAATAATGTACTCAATGTGATCCTACATGCTATTTATGCAATGGTGGTGCTAACAACAATTGT